GGAACCTTCTCCCTTGTAGACGCACAGCAGTGAAATACAATAACAAAACAAAACCAAAATGCAAACAAAAAAGACGTAATTTCTGAATTCAGTGCAAGCCACTTAATCCAACCGTCTGGAATGTGCTTTAGAAAATTCAGATTGCTGCTTCTTCCTCTTCTTCTTTTTGAGAGAGAGAGAGTGTGTGAGCAGGGGGGAGGTATAGAAGGGGAGAGAATCCCAAGCAGACTCCCCGCTGAGCATGGCGCCCAACGTGGGGCTCCATCTCACGACCCTGAGATCATGACCTGAGCCGAAAGCAAGAGCTGGGGCTTAGCCGGCTGAGCCACCCAGGCGTCACTGGACCGACTTCTTTAAAACATCATTTTTGGGGGCGCCTGGGTGGCTCAGTGGGTTAAGCCTCTGCCTTCAGCTCGGGTCATGATCCCAGGATCCTGGGATCAAATCCCGCATCAGGCTCTCTGCTCAGCAGGGATCCTGTGTGCCCCCCTCTCTCTGCCTGCCTCTCTGCCTACTTGTGATCTCTCTCTGCCAAATAAATAAATAAAATCTTTAAAAAAACAAAAACATCATTTTTTGTGATTATAAAAATCCCATAAAAGCCAGGCAAATGCAGGAGTGAAGAGAGAAGAGACAAGGAAGGAACCCGCCGCCCCAGAGGTTACACTGTATGTACAATTTATCAACGCAGAGACGTGCTGCTCACTTCCGGCAAAGGTAAACCTGGGATCTGTTTCTGCTGCATAACCTGCCATTCTTGTTCACACGTCCTAGCACTCTGCTTCCTCCTTAAGTATCCTTTGACAGCAAAGTCTAGTTTGTGGTCACTTATCCCATCAGATGCTCCGTGCTGCTTTGAACAACTCTCTGTCCCCGAAATTTAGACTAATTGAATACTTTTACGATTATAAATTATGCTGAAACATATATATAACATATGATATATATAACAGATAACAGACAATAGATAAATGTATACATAACACATAAAGCTTAAACTTCTCGCATTAATTTCCTGGGCTGAATTCCTACAAAACAGTCCTGTCCACTGGGGAATGGACATCTTCAAGCACTTGGTAACACCAGCGAATGAGTCTATGGGTCTGTGCTGATTTATAATATCTCCACCAGCAGCACATCAAGGTGTCCATTTTTCTGAATCTTACCAATGTTGTGTATTTTGTCCTTTTTGCTTTTTGCCATTTGATAGGTAAGGGAAGACCATAACAAATTATTTTGATTTGCAGCTCTAACAGGGAACTAAAATTTTCCCATCTGCTTAGTGTGTGTATGTGTTTATATTTATACGTGTTTTTAATACCCTGTTCATATCCTTTGCTCATTTCTTCCAACTGAGTTAAAATCTGCCTTTTGGTAACTTTCCTCTTTTGGTCCCAACTGTGCCTTCTGGAACGATCCTAAGTAAGATTAATTTCTCCTTCATAGGACACCCCCTCAAATACTTCAAGACAGAAATCATGCCTTGCTTTCTCCAAGACAAACACCCTGGCTCCTTCAACCCTTTCTCACTTGGCACAAGTACAGGCGGTCGCTGAAGATGTCATGCTAAGTCCTGCTGTGCCATCACCCTGACCATGCCAAACACTCGTGGGGACAGACCTCATGCAACTTCAGGAAGGCCCGCGTGGGATCATCTGTGCAGGCTCCAGGGGTAGCCACCAGCCCGCACCCTGGGTCTCAGACTCATCTCTTCTGCTCATTCCACAAGAACCCTCTGAGTTAGACTCATGACGATCGTGGCGTTTCTCATGATACCCTAGGTCTGGAGCCCAGACAAAGTGGTCAGAAGGAGAGTACTCTGCGGCCAGAAACAGGATGAAGGATTCGCCTGGTATGATGAGAATGATTAACGACTTCCGAAGTGGAAGACATTAAGAACCAGACAGGCTCCCCAGAGCTGGATTTGGTGGTACCGACCCGCCCAGGGACAAGCCTTGTCCAGGAAACTCCCCTGACCCTGGGGTCACTTGGGGTGAGGGTCCCACCTCTGTCCCCAGAGCTTGTGGTTTCACCACACTCTGCTGTGGTCATCTGTGTAGGTGCTGCCCTCCCCCCACCCCAGCCACACATCTCTGTGCTCCCCGAGGGGCAGGTCCATGTCTGGAGCCAGGCAGCCTTGCTCAGAAACAGGCACACATGCAGCTATCATGTGTGCTCATGAGCTGCATGGTGTGGAAGTCTCTCTCCCAGCTGTCCACACCTTCTGAGACACACCCGGTCTCACAAATAGCGCAGAAGCTCGAAGGTTCCCTGAACCACAGACAAGAGCGTCCATGACAGAGACCAGGTAACCCCACGGCATGGCAGGACCGCGTCTGGGAAAGACGTCAGCTTCTGAGGGCTCTCCCACATCTGCCAGGGCTGACCAGTTCTAGAGCGTCGTCACGACCATTTCTAGATCTACAGAGCAGAGGTCCGGGCTCTGAACACTGTGAGGCAGTGCGGCTTTATGAGTTCCTGTCTTGAGTCGAGCTGGGGCCCTCGGGCAAGCAGCTCCCTGACAATTCTGTGCATTATGGTTACATAGGAGAAAACATATAAATAAAAAGTACATAAATTAAAAAATATACATACTTTATATATTTATGTCAAGCTGGTATATATACATGTGTGTGTATATGTACACACAGCCAAAATTAAACACAGCCAGCTCCTGGAAAAATTAAACTGTGCACTACGACCTGTATACCTCAGCCACTATTACCTGACATGTCACCTCTGGATCTCAGCACAGATTTACAAGGTGTGCTTAAAGGCAAGAAAAAACACAGTAAGGAGACAAAGTAAGCATCATTACCAGACTCAGATATGAATGACACAGACCTTGAAATTACTAGACGGGCAATTTAAAATAACTGTAATTAATATGGTAAGGGCTCTACTGGGAGAACAGATAATAACAAAAACAGATAGGTAATGCAAGCAGGGGAAGGAAACTCCAGGAGGAAAACAGAAGGAAATGTTAGAAATAACGAATGCTGCAGAAATGGGGACTGCCTCTGATAGATTCATCCGCAGATTGGATGCTGCAAAAGAAAGACTCAGTGAGCTTGAAGACGTGCCAATTGAAGGTCCCAAAAATAAAATGCAAAGAGACAAAAACAGAGAGAAAAAATCCAGACACAATACCCCCCAACTTGTAGCACCATTTCAAACAATGTAATGCCTGGACATTTGAAATACCAAAAAGAGAAGAAAGAGAAGAGAACCAAAGGACTTGTGAAGAAATAATGTCTGAGAATTTTTCAGAATTAATGACACCAAACCACAGATTCAGGAAACTCAGACATGACCAAGAAGTAGAAATAACCAAAAAGCAAAACAAAATGAAGTACTGAGGCACATCATGGAACAACTGAGGTTTTTTGCAGAAAACCAAAGACAAAGAAAAAATCTTGAAAGAAGCCAGAAAATTAAAAAAAAAAACAAAACAAAACAGCAAACAAAAAGTCCCACACCACCTGTGAAAACACAAGGATAAGAGTTCTGTGGACTTCTCATCAGAAACCATGGAAACAAGGAGAGAGAATACTCATTCATTCATTCATTTAGCAGGCTCCACGCCCAGCTCGGAGCCCAACGTGGGGCTCAAACTCACGACCGTGAGACTGAGACCTGAGCCAAGGTGAAGCTTTGGACACTTGCCTGAGCCATCCAGACGCTCTAGGAAGAGACAATATTTAAAGCATTGGAGGAAAATATGCACTGTCCTAAAATCCAATATCCAGTGAAATTATCCTTCAAGAGTGAGGGGGAAAAACGACTTTCTGTGAAAAACAGAAACCGAGAGAACTCATTACCAGCAGAGCTGTCCTGCAAGAAATGTTACAAGAGGCTCTTCAGGAAGAAGAAAACAACGCGGGTTAGAAACATGGATCCGCGTAAAGGAAGGCAGAGTGTCAGAGAAAGAAGAAATTCAGGTAAAATAAACTTTATTTTTATTACTCTTAATTGAGCTAATATACTTCTGTGCGTTCCGAGTAATAATGCTAACAATGTGTAGGGCGACGAGGCCCGTGGATAAGTGACCGCACGGGAGCAGAGCCGCAGGTGATGCGGGAGGAGGGAACAGGAGAGCCGAGTGACGCCGTCCTTGCAGTACCCACGACGTGGTGCGCAGTCGTGTGCCCATCACCCCTACCTGACTCCAGAACCTCTGTGTCACCCTGACGAGACACACTGTACCACGACCCGTCATTCCCCGGCACCTGGAAACCACAAAACTACTCTCGTCGGGAAGGACCCGTCTTGTCCGGATATGGCACATAAACAGGATCGGATCACGCGTTGCCTGTTATCTGGCTTCTCTTCCAGGCCCACCAACGTGGCAGCATGGGTCCGGCCCTCGCTTCCTCGACGGGCTGAATAACACTGTGTCATGCGGATACTTCATTTTCTACTTCATGCGTCAGCGGGCGAGCACGTCTGGGTCCCTTCCACATTCTGGCCGTGAACATGGCTGTGAACGTTCGTGTGCACGCGTCTCGGTGGACAAATGCTTCGGGTTCTCCTGAGCTCACCTGGGACTGGGTCTCCTCCGTCACAGGGCAGCTCTACGCCTAACGCTGTGACGACCGGCCACCCGGTTCCCTAAGCAGCTGCGCCATTTTCCATCCCCACCCGCCCTGTCTGAGGGCTGCCAGGAGGGCTCCACACCCTCAGCAGACCCTGCCGCGGTCCGTCTGTCTGTCTGAGCCCTCCCAGTGAGTGTCGGAGGTACCGTCTGAAATGCCACCGTGACTTCACCCCGGGCTCCAGGTGACAGAAACAGCTGAGGCTCCCACTACCCCTGCGGGATTGCTTTCCAGAAACCTTCGCTTCAAGAAGCACGGTTTTTTCCAGTTGCGAAGATCGTTATGTTCTTACCACAAAGAAGAGCTTTCTGTCTCTCTCCATAGGAAGACGTCCCTAGCAGGAAAGCAGGGTAAGGTGAGGAGAGTGCCCGCCCCCCTTGGGATGAGTGCGCGGCTCCTACTTACCTGCCGGGGGCCACGCCTTGATGTACCCCGTGCAGTGGACCACAGCGTACTGGGCCTCCCCTTCTTTCACGGGACCAAGGCCGTTCCTAAAGAAAGAGCATTTGTGAGTCGGCTCTCAGCACCTGGCGGGGAGGCAAGGCCACCGATGGCTCCTCTGCGGTCTAAGCCACAGGGGTCATGCTTGCCTTGTGGGTTTGGATGTCGCCTTCCCAGCAGCCTGCTCTCCCTCCTGCGAAGCTGCACCCAGCTCCCCGCTAGCCCCACGTGCAGCCCCGAGGGCGTGCCCCACGCCTCTCCCTGCGCTCAGCCCCTCTCCAGGTCCCGCCCCCCGAGGCTCAGCGCACTCAGGCTTTCTCCCGGCACAGCCCCAGACCCGTGTCAGAAAAGCCTACTGACCTGAACCTTTTTCTCATGGTGGTCATTCTGCTCAGAGGGAGGTGGTCCAGAGGAGCGTTTCCACACCTGCGATTCCAGAAACAGAATGAGGAAAGGCCTCAGCAAGCTTCTACAGCCTCGAGCGCCGCGGTCGGGAAGGGGGTCTGCTGTGACACACACGGACCCGCGAGCCCAGCAGCTAGTTCCCTTCCGCAGTGTCAACGCGGGCTTGCGTGTGCCCTGGAATCTGGACTGACCCTGAAGGCCAGGGCAGTGTGACCCCCGGGCACTGCTTGGGGCCCGGCCCGGAGGCTGGGGACACAGGAAGGCTCTGGGGAACCCTGGCCATGCTCCAAGCTGCAGACTCACGTCTGTGCCACTGGGGGCTTTCAGGAAAGCGGGCAGGTGGGCAAAGACCACGGTGATGTCGTTTCAGGCCTCAGCAGTGACAGCAACTCCACACGCACGGGGCCCACTGCTGACAAGAAACATCTCGGGCTCGGGCTGCCATCGGGGACGCCCCCACTGCCTGCATGGCTCTGCCCGGCAGTCCCACGGCCGCTGATGGCAAAGGGCAGACTGCAGACAGAGGGCGGAACAGCCTTTCCGAGGGTCCTTCCGGGAGGCCAGGCTGCTCTGGGGGCCTTTCCTGCCTCTGTCCTCCATGGCCCCCCCAGGCTCTGAATAGCCAGGTCTGCCCTGCGGCCAGAAGCAGGTCACACCTTGGTCTACCCCCGCTTACGTGGGCTCCCCGTTCCCAGCTCCACGACCGCTAACGCTCTGGATGTCGGCCACGCTACATGGCCAAGATAAGGGTCCACGTGTCCTCAGCCTGGGGCAGCGGCCCACACACGCGTGTTTCCCCAATAGGGTCAATCCAGGACACCAATGCCCGGGCGAGCTGGCCTGGCTCTCGGCATCTTCCTCAAACTAACCCCGCTTTGGAGGACAAGGTCGTGCGCTCAGCAGACGGCAGTGCCACCCGCCTCACAGAAGTCCGGGTCGTGTGGAGCTGGGACCACAAAAAGCCACTGGACTGTGCCCCCCAGAGCGCCCAGGGCAGGGAGAGGGCTGCCTGAGCCGGCGTGACGGAGCAGTGCTTATGGCATGGAGGCTACCCGGGGACGCTCCCAGGGAGGGCCTTCACCAGGTAAAGCTTGGGGCGGCAGCTCTGAAAGTCCACGGAGGGCGCTGTCCTGGAGGCCCGCCACGCGGGGATGGGTATGCACACCGACCCAGGCACCCGTGCCTTGTACCAACGGCCTCCCATGTCATTCAGAGTAGAAGCTGATGTCTTATGATGACCTGATATCCCGACCTTCCAGACCAGTGTTCCCATCACCACACCCCATTCACTCTACTCCTGGGAGAGTAGCTCCGTCATCCTTTGAGCAGGCCAAGAACACCCCTGCCTCAGGGCCTTTGCACTTGCTATTCCCTCTACCTGTGTTTTCTTTCCCCAGATATTCCCAGGTCTCCACTCAAAATGTCAAAGTAGCCACGGGCCCTCCCCTCACCTACCTGAAAATCAAGGCATAAGCCAGTAGCTCCCACTCCTTCCTACTCCTTCAGTTTGTTTTATTTTCCTCAGCAGCACTCACAGTCCGAGCATCTATGTGGCACTTCCGTGTCCCTGACTAAAGTCACGCTCTGCTGGATCGAGGATTTTGTTTGCCTTATTCTGGGCTGAACCCCGGCACTTCGATAGCCCCCTGGCACAGGCAGGCCCACAGGGAAACGTGCTGTGTAACTGAGTGATTGAGAACGGCTGCCTGGTTTCAGAGCCTCCAGAGTCCATCAGGCCAGGTGGACTCCCTGTCAGCCACCTCCAGCCCCCCCGACATGGCCTGGGGCACAGGGTGGTCTCAGCTGGCTGGGAAGTCTCAAAACCCTTGTTGTTTCTTCTTCAGGGACAAAAAGTTTTCTCATTACCCCCGATTCAATCCCTTGGGCATCCCCGCAGCAGGTCATGGGGTCTCAGGGAGGGTTAACTCAAAGCCCCTCTCCTCAGGGCAACTGGCACTCACTCCCGGAGCCAAGATATTTACACCAAGAACGTCAGTCGGCAGGATCATAATTAAATTCTAATAAAAGTGTATCATTCAGCCCAGGAAACATAAGAGGACGTACAAAACTGATCGATTCTACATAAACTATAGTGAGAAATATGGAGGCTGGACGAGTTGAAGAACTGGTAGAAAACTGAGACCTGGGGGACAGGGGAAGCCAACCTGGGAGGGGGCAGAGCTCGTGGGAAGACAGACATGGTGGGATGCGAGGACGAGGGACAAGAGCCCTCTCATACGGACCCCGACGTGTGGCTGCAGCAGAGCCTGGGGCAGGACAGGAGATGAGGAACCCCTCCTCCCCAGCCACAGCGCCCCGGTCCCCCACAGACCTCATCCTGCAGATGAAAGACCTCCGCGAGCCCATGCACATCCTCATGGAAGACTGCTGTCCCTCCTTCTTGACCGTCCCCGTCTTCAGGTCCAGGATCCGGCCTAAGTGAGAGAGGGACACAGGTGTAAACCTCTGCCTTTGATGGGGCTGTGGGGCAGAGGGGCGGAGAGCTTTCTCCAAATGCTCTGCAAAGGGGGACAAACGGGGCTGTGCGAATCGTTTCTTGGATGCCCACCATTCTCTGTCTGGGAACACGTGGAGCCAGGAGACCCGTACGATTCTAAGAGGCTCTTCTTCAGAACGCCGTCTCCACCTGCCGTCCCTGCTCCGTTGGACAGCATTTGCCCAAATCACCAGCACCTTCCTTGCCGCTGTTCCCAACACCCCCTTCCTCAGTCTCCACTCCTGTCCTTCTTCCGCTCCTGCCCCGGAGACCTCAGTGGCCCACCGTCTCTCCTCCCACTGGGCCCCTTGCCAGCTTTATCCACTCCAGGACGACTGCCTCTGTACACTGAGAATCCTGCACACCCCAGCACCCACTCCTCCATCCAGACCACCATCCGCACGTCAAGGCCAGCACCAGCCACTGCTCCCCGACCCGAGGCTCCGCTGTCCACAGGGAAGTCGAGGTCAGAAGGCCGGATGCCCTGTGAGAGTCCTTCCCTCCATCACCCCCCTGCACGCCCCCCTATCTCTCCATCGCCTCTGCCCTCCTGCCATCCCTCGGCTGAGGCTCACGGGCTCCCAGCCTCTGGCATCCCGCCTCGCACACGGCCGCCAGCTGTGTAGACCACACGCATCGGACGGCCCACCTGTGTTCCCGGCTGCAGCACTGATGTGAGCTCTCCCAGGCTGCCTGCCCCTCCCCCTCGCTTCCGCCCCACTTCCCGGTACCCCGCCAAGGGAAACGTCAGAGCTGCCTGTGTAAGTCTCCGTGTCCCAGCAGGCCCACGTTTTAAGAAGTTGGAAGAAACAGGGGCACCATTTTCAACGATACACCTGGCGTATTACTGTTTCTGCACGTGAAGCCCCTTGGGGTACTTTGCGTTCTGTTTCACTCCCTGAGGCTTTGATGTTGGTGTGTCTTGCGCACACAGGGCACGTCTCCATTCCAATGCCCCCGTCCCGGGCGCTCCGCAAGCGCCCGTGGCCAGTGGCCTCCGGACGGGGTGCGCGCGGCTCCAGACACAGCCAGCATGCCCGCCCCTCGGAGGCCCTCCCGCCTCGCACGTGTGCAGACACGTGCTTTCTGCCCCAAGTGCACACCCTGTTCCATGTGAGGGGCACCCTGGCGAGTTCCCGCTCATCCCGCTTGCCTGTCACGGCCCCTGGGAGGCCTCCTCTGGGTTCCGCAGGTGGAGCTTCCCGCCCCCGCCTTCCCAGCCACCTCCTCCCTCCCCCCTCAGTATTTATCACGAGTTTCCGTAGAGCCAGGGCACCCCGTGAGGCCCTGGGGGTGCAAATGTGAGCCAGGCACCATCATGTCTGCGGGAGAAAACAGACATCCCCACTACTTGTCACGCTGCACCACACCGACGTGCTCGCTCGCCCATTTACCATGACCTTGACTCCAAACGCAGTGGGAAGGTATTGACTGAGTGGAAAACTGTGTCCCAGCACCGTGGACAGTTCCTGGCCCAGCATGTGGCTGAACCCACCCGTGTGCGTCCCCAGGAAAGGACTTTGCGACAAAGTTGGCATTAAGTAACGTGAGAATCAATGGGTTTTTACTTCTATTCCCATTTCTACATCAAAACAAACTGACCTGCACCCACCCCCCACCTCGCTCCCACCGCAGAGGAAATGCTGCTTCTCCTCCCCGAGGGCCCAGCCGAGAGCCGTGGGCCTTGCTCCATCCACCAGACCCTCCCATCAGGCCCCTCCACTATTCAAACATGTCAGTCCCTACCACTGATTGGGGGAGGGGACAAACAAAACCCTTCTTTGACCCTGAGGCTCCTCCTCTTGCTCCCTGTGCTCTGTCCACTCACGGCCAGCCCGCGGGCAGCTCTAGTCCAGGCACCAGGGCCCTGTGTGCCGGCAAACTGAACGGATATTAAGCAGTCCCTCTCCACTTGGTTGCTGTCCTCAACCAGTCCCTCTTTCCTGGACCCTTGTCATCCTGAACCTCTCCCACCTCTCCATTGCTGGTGGCACTCCAGAGCCTGGGCCTTCTGTCCCACTCTCCCCGAGCCCTCAGGGCTCGAGGACACCAAGACAGCACCTCCAGCAGGACCTCTCTCGGAACCTCCTGTGTGTCCATCGGACGTTCCAGACACGGCACGGTGGGCAGGAACCAGAACCCTCGTGGGCTCCCCTCCACCCAGCACCCACAGTAGCAGGGAGGCCACAGGGCACACGGCTGGGCCCACAGCGGCCCAAACATCTCCAGGCAGGACACGTCCACCAGAACTCAGCCCCGAGCAGAGGCCCGCCCCACAGTCTGCTGAGAGCTTGGCGCTGCTCGTGCGGAGCCCCAGGCGGGGGTTCGGGTCTGGGCGGGCGGCCGCCCCAGGGCTGACCCCTGTCTGTCTCGCTCGCAGATGGGAGCTCCTTGCAGCCGCTCCCAGGGTAAACTGTCCCTCGCTTTATCATCTACCAAGTGGCAAAGGGTTTCAGCTGCGAAGCAGGCCGGCCTGAGTCTGTCAAATTCCGGAGGCTGCTCTGAAAATAAACCGCAACTGTGGGACACATGAGCCGTGGAGCACGAGGAAATGAGAAAACACATGTCCGTGATCTGCTGTCAGGACCCCGAGAGACAGCGGCCACACGTTTGTTTCTCTGGTGCTTCTCCAGTTTCCTCGGGCACAGGAGCCCCTTTCCGGGCTCCATGGGGGGGGAAGCACGCTCAGCTTTATAACGAGGTTGTGCTCCTGAAAGGTCTGGGAAACTGGGCTTTTGACCTGAGAGCAGTGTAGACATATGGAGGCAAGGGGCCGCCCCCCAACTCTGGCAGTGAGTCCCAGGAAAGGGGACCGGGGATCACTCTGTCCCCCGGCAACAGACTGTCAGGCTGACTTGCCATGGGGCTCCCCAGTAGGAAGGGAACACGGACAAGAAGCTGCTATGTGCATGGCTTCCAGTCTTCTCTCCTGGCCCACAGAACCCTCGGGTCGGCTTAGAACCACGGAGCTGCATTCCCAGGGCTGGTCCCAGTGGGTCCCTCAAAGCACAATCAGTCAGGGCCAAAGCCGACTCCTTCCAGATTCCAGCCTCATCCCCAGGTCAGAAATCTCACTCTGCAATGCTGCCCTGAGGGGGCCCCAGCACCCATCCCAGCCCGCTCCCCTCGGCAGGTGCTGAACGCCCAGCCCCGTGGCCGTCTCTCGTCTCCGCACTCCTCCCCATGACTCCTGCTTCCCTCCTCCCTCTCTCCTACAGGGTGCCCTCTGGAATGTCCCTTCTGAAACAAACAAACCCCCACACCCTCGGCTTCTTTGAGAAGTTCCCTGAACCCCAAGTCAGCAGACCAGCTTGACCGACCGCTTCCAGGCTGCGTGTCCCCCAGAGGGAAGGCAGACGTGTGCTCCCACAGCCCGGATGCCCTGTGGTCCGAGGCGGGTCTGCATCTCCCTCAGGGCCCAGAGCCCCTCCACACGGAGCTCCCGGCATACAACCCGCAGCTCCTCCCAGACTCTCGCGTCTGCCCTGTGCACCTGCTACGTCTCGGTCGTCCCACCCGCGGTTCACTCTTCCTCCATGTCAGACGCCAGCTTGTCCCCTGGCTTTCTCTTCACTTCCAGAGCTGCCATCATAGGACTCGGTGCCAGCACCCACGTGGAGGCCCCCAGCATCCCCACTCAGGGCTCGCCCTCCTCCCACGGCGGCGCCTCTCCCGGCACGGTGTTGTGGAGCGTGAGGTGTCTACAACCGCGCGCTGTCCGAGATCTTGTGTTCGAGCACACCGGCAGTGCCCCCACTCTGGTCCCTGCTTCACCGAGGGTCCAGCGTCGGAACCTGCAACCCCGATCGGCTTCCGTCCCTGCGGAAATGCTGAGCTTCCCTCTGGTGTGGATCCGTCCTTGGCGCCAGCAGCGCCTGGGACCTGGCGGCCAGCTCCGGCCCAGGCGCCCCAGCCAGCTTCCCGCACAGCCACAGCGGAAGCTGATACCTTCCCGGGTTGATGCACGAAGGGGGACCATGGGCGAGTGAACGGCAGGGCCCACACCTGAGGTATCTGATTCCAGAAGGAAGCGGCAGCCAGGATGGAGGCGCAGCCCCGGTGCAAGTGGGTCTGGGGGAAGGGCCGGCGGTGCCCCGTTCTCTCAGCCCGAAGACAGGACTGGACCCACCTGCGCTGACGGTCACGTGCGGCGCCGAAGACGGACACGCAGACACCCCATCGGCCGCCCGCACGAATGCTAGAAGCAGTTGGTGGCTCCAGGCGGCAGCTCTGTGAGCCCCAAGAGGAGGGCGGCGCCCCGGACTGGAGAGCCACAGGGAGGTTCCCCGCAGCCAGCCCAGCCCTGGCCTTCGGCTCCTCTGAGTGAAGAGAACATTCTGGAAGGTTTTCGCCTGTGTCAGGTGAAAAGGTTGAAGAACTACTTATTTCTCCCTTAAAGTGCTTCTGCTCTAAAACTAAAGTGGTCTTTGGGAAAATCACACAGACACAGACACACAGTAAAAACCCCAGACTCTCTGCCTTGAGAAGAACAGTATTAACATTTGGGCGTTCCTGAAAAATCTCTGTGCGTGCCTGTTTTTTCTTTCAATTAAGCAAGGTGCCATGGTGTATGTTTTTCCTCCTTACGTCACAACATAAACTCACAAAATTGTGATCACGGACGTTATCCGGAAGGCTCTATGCCACCGTTTTGCTCAGACGATTTACCGTTGGACATGAAGTTATTCCCAGGTTTTCCACGGGGCAAATAACACCATGGTCAGTAACTGGGTGGGGAAAAATCACTATATCCAGACCTTCTTAGGCTAGATTCCCCAAAAATGGAATTATGGCATCACACGAGGACAGGCTGTCAGCACCAACACCCAGGCTGCTCTCAGCCCCCCGTGAACCTGCAGTGAGCTCTGGGCTCCACTCCGTGACACGGGGACAAGTACAACACGTCTCAAGGGTTACAAGGACCATTTTTCTAAGTTG